ATCCCGTCCCGGGAGGTTGAGCGGGCGGAGGTGGTGGCGCAGCCACAATCGCCACCGCTGTTGCAGCAGCGGAAGGAGTAGCAATCGCTGTCACAACCTTTCGACGCTGGATATCAATTAAGTGACTTCTTTCACCTCTCCGGAAGCTGTCGTTTGCGAATTCCCATCGATCAGGTACGACTTTCCGAAATCCCTGCATAACCGAAGAAAAGCTTAATTTAATCCATATCCCTCAGGTCTAATCTTAGGATTTCAGATAAAAAGGAACTTACATAGGTGTTGAGCTGCCTAACGAAGCTAGAAAAATTATTATGTTTAAAATATTTAGGAAGCAAATCTTTAGCAAACTCCGCCGGATTCCACACGATGAAAGTAGATCCGTCTTCATTCCAAGAGATCACGTCGTCAATAGATTGATCCTCGATGAGCTGGTAGGTCTTTGTTAAAAACGGTGTCGGCACGGACCTCTGCGTTTCACCGGCCGTCGTCTCTCCTCCGTTCCGGTCTATTGGCTGTGGAGTCATATCTTCTTATCACCTGAAAAGCTAATCAAGTCCGTATTGAATTCAACTCATCAAAAACCATTTTCCAGCTAATATAATAATAGTAACACCAAAACTACGTACTTGAGTGAAGATCGATGATTCTATTCTCGCAGATCTGGAGCCAAAACTACAGAGTTCCGAGAAAGACGACCGTCGGAATTTTCGGTGATTCTAGAAGTTTCCGGCGCCACATAGAGGTGCGTGGGTGTGGGGTGGGTAGGAACAAGGAGAGATGGGAAGATAATTGGAAAATTCGAGAAGGAAGAAATAGAGAAAGGGGAAAATATTATAAAAGAAAAAAGCGAGAGTAAAAAGAAAGAAGCAAAAGCTACATTATTTTATTAAAAATAGAACTAAAGTAGTAGACAAACGTATTGTCTTTCGTGAAGCTTCTTTTGATGACAGGCTCTACGCACCCACAGATGAATAGGCGATGTATATTTGGGCTACTCTAATTTATTTTAAACAAAATAGAGTAAACAATATTTATTTATTTTAACATAGGAATTGGTTTGGTAACGAAACTACTCGCACCACTATTGTTTCATTTTACTTGATCCTAATATCAAAATTTACTATAGCAAATAAAGATGTTTTTTTTTCTTACTAGCTTTAGTATTAAATAATTATATAAGTAGTCAAATTTAGAATTTTAAAACTGAATAAAAATCATTCCTAATTAAAATTTTATTAATATAATGACTAATATGCAATTCATGTATCATGCAGAGGCGTAAGGCGTATCTAGAGGGGGTGCCGTGGGTTCACGTGAACCCATGCTCCCCTCTCTAGATCATATATAGTAGTGTTATATTTTTAAAAAAATATTTAAATATAGATATGTGAACTCATGTTCAAAGTATCATATAAAAATGCGATGATGATTTGGTGCACTTCTCTAAGTGAGAGATAGAAATTTAAATCTTATATTTATCTTGTCTCTTTGAGTAATACTTTTTCAAGTGGTTATCATTACGGACTTTTTATCGGTTTCAACTAATTTTCTTTGTTTTTCCTTATTCTTTCAAAATTTTCAAGTGTGTTACATTGAGAATTCCTAAAAAAATTAGCATTGTAAATTTTTTATATAATTAAATCAAATGTGTATATTAAAAGTTAAAACTAGTAGTATTATATATTTTGGACCTATAATTTTAAACTTTAATGATTCATATTACGAACTAAAAGTCAAATCGATCAAATTTATATTAGAGATACATTTTTTCGTAATCGTGCATCCATCTAACCGAAATTCTGGATACGCCTCTGGTATCATGTATGCACATAATCGAAGACTCATGTGAACGTTGGACTCTTTACAGACCTAGGTCACTTTATGTATAAAAGTAATTAAGTCAAATCTCTATAGTAAAAGATTTAGTGCAAAATATAGAAGGATAAAGACTTACTTGATGTGAGAAAATATTTTTGAATGATCAAAAGACATACAATGAATAATATGACATAACTGAAATCTTAATGAATTAAGTCAAACATATATAATGATTCATTGATCTATTCATTATCAACCTGTTCACCTAAAAAAATAAGAGTAAATTAGACATAACTATCAACTTAAACTATATTAACTTAATGCGTTTATGTATTACGTGGATAGTAGAGGTTTGATGGGTTTGGCATGATCCATATAACTATTAACTGAAACTATGCTACAACAACACATTTATGTATTACGTCGATAATAGAGGTTTGGCATGATCTATATAAAAAAAAATGGAGGGGAAATTATCTTTGGCATGAAGTAGCCCACTTGTTTATTTTTGAAGAAAAAAAGTTGGAATGATGGAAGGTGTGTTTGCCAGCTGTCCTGTGCTATTTTTGGTACCGCAAAATAGGACGAAATACTGGGAATTTGGACTATTTTGGCCTGGCCTAATCAACTTGCAACTCAATTATATCCTAAAGATTTTATCGGACGCTCTATTTTCATCGCCTCGATTTAAGTGATATTCGCTTTACTTATTTGCACTCTTGTTTCTTCTGCTTCTACATTTGTATCTGTATTTTGGTTAATTTTAATGTACTCATATTTTAATCATGTATAATTACTATAATGAGTTTGTTAGATTTGAAACACTTTTAATGCTTCTAGGTCTTTTTCAAAACACTATTTAGAAAATACATTTGTAGCACTTTTTAAAAACCTATCAATATTTTAAATTAATTAATCAATACAAACAATTTTTCACCAAATGTTTATTTTAAAGTTTTGATTAAACAAGTTGTTATAAGTACTTTTAAATGTTTAGTGAAATATTAAGTTGTTTAAGGTTGTTTTTAAAATTGATTTATCAAGTACTTAATTGTTTCTTAACATAAATATTTTTTTTGTAAGAAAAGGCTCATAAAATTAGCCATTTTACAGGCCTCATGTAATTAAAAATAGTCACGGTTAAAATATTGTAGTGAATGATCCAGAATTCCAACCGTACTATTTGGAATTTCAAAATCCCACCTCCAAAGAAAAGAATTTAGAATTTCAAATTGCTAAAAAAATTTTCAAGTGTAAAACTTGACACATAATTATTTTATAAGAAAAGGCTCATCATTTTTTAAATTCGAAAATGCAGGTGAAAAAATGTTTGTATTAACGAAGGATTAGTTACTACTGATGTTGATTAATGAATCTTTATTAAATTACATATATTTGAAAGTCAGTAATCACAAACATTTATAAAAGAAATATGGAGATATGTTATTTATTAATATAACATCTTAGAATATTTTGATATATCGTTTATAATCTATAATTTACTTATTTGGTAAGATTATACAAAAATTGAAATATTTTTAACCGTTTCCACAACTTGTAGGGTCACATGTTTATAAAAAAAAAAATATACAACTTAAGTAATTCAAATTGCATGTTCAGACAAAACTTTAACTTCAAATCATATCCAAACGTAATAGATTATTTTTCAAGATATAGTTGACAAGTAGCCGGTAATTGTTATTTCTACCCATTATATGAATCACTTTTCTTGCAATACTGGACTTAATTATATACTTGAATTAGGAAGACAAAATGTAGCACTAAGAATAAGGAGAAAAACTTTTTAAAACATTTGTTATGTTGCTCTCCCATTGTGAAGGGAGGGTTCTCATTTATCTGGAAGACAATAGGATTGTAACCCGGGGCGGAGGTATCCTTGCCTAATGGGTGTCAAGCAACACCTCTTCGCCAGAAAATTACATTGTATATATATGTTAAATTTTGTTTTAATTAATATATATATATACAACTTGTTACACCAACCATTTCTTTTTTCTTTTTTGAACAACTAAAATGATATGCACATTACTAGCTTTCTGGTATATGTCATTCTTAATGTTTTGACACCCCTTAATGAAATTTTTGACTCCACCACTGCATTGTTGACACATACAAACATAGAAAGGGATACCACCAACTACCAAGAAAGAAGAAAATGTTTTGTAGCCACACATTGACCCTGGGACCTCTTGAGTTTATGTTGTAATTCACAGCCATCCATCTACAGGTCTGGATTACACAATATATCCAAGTTTCTCTATAAGCTTATCCAATTTGGATTTGCAATTTAGATGGAGAATGAAAAAAAAAAAAACTTTCATTTATCCAAGGAAGTTGACCGTCTCTTTGTAGGGAAAACGCCTTACAGAAGCATTTCATCTGTCCATATACAAGTTGCACCACTAGCAACATATTTAATTCCACATGTGGGATCCGAGGAAGGTAGTTAACCGTACCTTCGGAGGTAAAGAGGTTGTTTCTGATATACTCTCGGCTCAAGGAAAATCATATAAGGCAGATTGGAAAAGAAATAACTGAAGTGAATGAATCATGGCAAAATACTGTAGTAAGCATGACAAAGTATTCTGAAAAAGGGAACAGTAACTACACCAAAAAGGGTGTGACAATTGAAGTACAAAATACAATAGATAGTAACAGAAATCAACGGTGTCTCACTTGAATTATTGCATGTCTCAGGCGAAAATTAAATATGTCAAGACAATTCTTGATCTAATAGCAACTGAATTAAGCAGGATGGATATCTACTAGAACATTAAGTTCTTGCCTAGCCAGCAAAACACATGGACTGTTGACAAATAACATATATGGACAGCAGAAGAAATCATCTAAAGTTCAAGTAGTGTGGACAGCAGCAGAAGTTTCTAATGTTAAAAGAAATATAGTTTGATCACAGCTTCATATAAAGTTAGTAAAATTAAGCAACATCAGCAAGCTGAACCTGAAGCTTTCCTGCTACATTGTCTCTATCCCAAATATTGAACATTGTAAAACTTCATTTGTCATAAACCAAAGCAGCCTTTATAATTTGATGGATAACAGATATGCAACTCTCCAATTCTTCTCATAGTTCTTAAGCTGCATCGAAATAACATCTTGCAAGTGCCAGTAATAACTAGCTTTAAGCAAATACCTAATGATTCTTTTTTTATAATTATGAAATTCTAATGAATAAAGTATGACTATTTATTGTTTGTCTCCTACAAATGTTGCACAGAACATACTTGAATTACCAAAAGCCAACATATAATCATACTCAAACCCCTCCTACATGCAAACAAACTCTAACCACGAAGGTAGGGTCACACATTATCTGGATGATATCATAAGATATACATAGAAAGGGCCACGACTAAGAAATGTGTATTCTATAGCTCCCCCACCACCCCCAAAAAAAAAACTTTATCTTCCCTACCTTGATATGGATCCCATGGCTCCTCAATATTTATGTTCATATGTGTCCAACAGACTCTAAATTCATAGCCATCCATCTTTAGGCCTTGATTGCAGAATGTGGCCAGATTTCACGCAGCTTATCCATTGTGAGTTTACAGTAAGATAAAGACAGATGAGAATGAATTTTCCACGTTTTCACAAAAGGTGCGACGACGTCATTCTCATTGTTTCTTTGCAGGCAAGTGCTTCCAAAGAAGCATTCCGTCTCCCTCTCCTCCTCTACTTTTCTCTGAGTTCATTTCAGAAAAGAACATGGTGCCTCAATAATTTCATGTAATGCTTTGTTCCTCTTTTACCACACCTAAGATACTAAAGAATTGAAATAACTCCTAATTACCAACTTATACTAATACTAAACTAGCAACTGAATGAACACACTCAAACCTCAAGCGTGAGCCTTAACCGTCTCATACTCTCATTGGACTTTTAAGAAATTACAACAACTATGTTTTTTCCCCAAACAAGTTGGGGTGAGCTAAATGAATCAGAATTGACCATGTTACTCCTATTTATCCCATCTCATGCAAAATTATGCAGCTACAAATAAAAAGTATTAGAAGTTCTCTATATTTTTGTTTTTTTTTGACAAAGGTAACAAAGAAGTTCTCTATATTTCTGAACGATATCCTCAAGGTTAAATAACTCCTAGAAAGCATAGGACCTACTGTAAAAGTGCTACAATGTTTAAAGCATATTATCCACTGATAGGTTTTAAAGATCTTTTCTTCCATTCTGTCTTATCTTTCACTAAGTTTATACGAAACTATGGATCGCCAGAGACTGCAGGTCCTTCAAGATAACTTCCTACCATGTGATTTTAGGTCTACCTCGTCCTCTTTTAATACCTTTACTCACTATGGTTTCGTAAAACATACCTACAGACTGGTGCATTCAGAGGTCGAAGCATGACATGACTAAACCATCACAAGTGACTTTTTCAGAAATTACTAAGCAACTAAAATTTAAAAATTAAAAGGAAAAGAGACTGATAGGATGTCATTAAAATTGAGCAAGCTAGCATTCCCATTGCACTAAAGGGTAAAGGGGAAAAAGAAACAGGGAATAACAATACCACATTTTAAACTACTAGGAAAATGTGTTTCTGAACATA